GGGGAGCTTAAGTTGTATTCTCGGAAGATGGTGTTTGCACTTGTCGTTGTATCACGCACCGAGCACGAACCGAGCAATCGGTATCGTTGTCACGTTCCGCACCTCTTTCGGCAGCCAGCTGTTGCATGCTTATTTTTTTCACTAACGAAAGTCGCCACGATAAAACGCTGCGATAAGTCCGCAACGGAAATCGTTCCGCGACATTTTCACCGAACGAATCGTTCACATCGATTAACTCGTTGGCGTTCATAACGGTTCCACGTCGCGCAGTTTATGTGAGGGTCCAGCAGAACTTCGTCTCAGCGAGGAGATAAAACAGACATTCGAGACAATTTTCCCGAGCGTTTCCTCTTTCGTGCAGCAGCATCGGGGACCAGGAAAATGAGGTTCCGTGGATCGGTATACGCCACTAGGAATTCGTAGAAACATTCGTGGCATGATCGTTCATTCTCCGGCGCGTCGCACCGTTGTTTCAGGCTCAAAGTAGAACCATCATGTCTTTGGTCAGACAGGCTCGCTTGCCCGAACTGTCCGGAGTTAGGGGAGTTTCCGCTTTCCCTGAATACTAATACCAAAGAATGTTAATTTGTTTCGCAAATGTTCCGGGGCAATATTTTCCGAGGCAAATAACCTTGGCAAATTGTTCTTCCGTCGTTGAAAGAATTTTGCGTTTCCTGTTACAGCGAAAGCGAGAGAGATCGCTATACAGTTGCCTAGAAAAGTGTTCGTACACGTTTTAAAACGCAGTAACGTTTTTCAAACTGGACTAAATGACTTGAATGTTTTTTTTTTAGATGATATGGGGACTAGCATACTAGACAACGAGCGAAATGTCTTTTTTAAATTTTGCTATGATTTGGAACGACAGAAAAATATATTAAAAAACTCTCGTTTTCTTTTAACTTTCTTTACCTGACCTTGAAACGAAAATGTAGAAAATGCCTCTCGTATATGCGTGCTGAAAATTTGATCGGTTAACCGAGAGTCGCGAGCTACAGGCGTTGAAAGGTTTTCAAAACTGCAGACTTCTTACAGTTTTCGATCTAAATCGTGACGAAACTGCGATTTTTGCCATCTTTAATTTGTTGTAACTCGTGACAACGTCGACCGATTTCGATAAAATTTTCAGGATGCGTGCAAGTTGCCGCGTTTTTAAATTTTAACGCATTTTTTAAATTTTCGTTACAGCCTCGGATAAAAAAGTTAAAAAGCGAGAGTTTTCTATCTTTTTTGTCATTCCAAATAATAGCAAAATTAAAAACGAAACATTTTGGCCATTGTCTAGTACACTAGTCCCTCTATCATCTGAAAAAACACTCAAGTCACTCGGTTGAGTTTTAAAAGGTGCACTTTCGTGGGCTCTACTTGTATGTATTCAATTTATTTGGAATATTTCAGCTCTTCCGTTTCGAAGAATTCGCGCGGATTCAAGCAGCGCGAAATGTGTAGCATACAGAGATTTACGCGTTGCATTCGGACGAAACTTTTAATGGAAAAGAGATAAGGCAGTTTCACCAGAAATTCGGAACGTGTTACAGAATCGTCTTACTGGATAAATTCCTACTCGTTCCCTCATCGTTTGATCGTTCTGACACAATAATCAAGGAAATCAAAGTCCAAGCAGTTCTCCCGTCTCTGCTCCAGATTATTTGTCCATCGAAAGTTGCGTTACATCCGCGACGGCCTTGCATCCGTTGCGTCATTATCATCGCTGCACGCCATTATCTCGCAAAATGGACTTTTTCTGTTTACGGTTATGTTGTCGTTAACGCGCTGCCTCCTCTTGCGGCGAAAATCTCCGAGACGCGACGGTGAACAATATTTCCGCACGAAACAATGTCTTCGGACTTTAAAAGATCCGGTCCGATCATCGATCGTCGAACAGTTGACAATACGCGTGAAACACTTATCCCACGCTATTGGACTGACAGGATATTTGCAAGAGATATCAAAGAACCCTTTTGACTCGTGGGGGAGAAATAAAGTAACAATCGATCATTTTTGGATGAAGGAGTTCCATGGGTGATACCCATCGTCGAGGTTATTTCTTCCACGAAATGAAAAAGACTTTGATGTATGTAGGTCGCATAAATCGTGACAACGTTAATCTTCGATCTTCCGGGTCAGAAGATTGAGTATCGACGGTCGGGGACTGGGGCGGTAAGATTCGGGACAGTTGCAAGGAAGATCTGGAACAAATGCGAACTTTGATGCCTTACTTATCAGATTCTGACCGTCGCACAGATTTATTGTTAATCCCTTGCACAGATCAAAATTATATCCAAGCGCCTTTTATCGGACCGATGTTCTCGAAGTTCGAGAGCGAATTCATTCGAATGCTCTGACCTGACTGTCGGGCATTGATAATAATTGAGCATAAACTGTCCGAAAACACTGTCCTTACGATGTTTGCGTTTTAGCAAACGGAAATCTCTCAGACCATAACTCGATCACCGCCCACATTTACATCCGCCGAAGTGGTTTTTCCGCTGGCGACAGCTGGAGCAAACAGATTCAAATTATCCAGAACTTCGTGCCAAACAAGATCCAGCCGAATGGACGAGGAGTCGCAGGCTCTCTGTAATCCGAATAGCTTACATTGTGGTAAGCCTTCCTCAAGAAGTCAGCCAGAACTCAAAACTTCATACGATTTTCATGAAAATCGGCGCACTTGTGTTTTTCAGCTTACCGAATTCGAATGTGTCATCAAAAATGCAAAATTCAAAGTGCAAGATCAGTGGAATATCGCTGATTTCTCGATATTTGGTTGTACCAATATAATTAGAACATGAAATTGAAAGTGACGATTTTAATTACAATATCTTTAACATTGCTCGCGGAGAGCATCGACTTCAATCTCGAGTATCTTAAAAACTGACACCATTTTTCGATTGGATATCATAGTCGAAATGTTACTTCAACGCTATCGATTGCTAATTTATTGTATCTTCCCGATTGTATTCGGATCCGCAAAACGTAAGGATATTTAAAAAACAATCGATGCATACAACTTAACTTTTCAATTTTAATTTGATTAAGTAAGATACTTTAGAATAGTATATTTTAGTATATTCTAGTAAAATTTTTAAGGTTGTTGGCGTGACCGTCAAACTGTTAAGTTATGAGTCTTGTTAAAGCAGGTCTCTCGATGATTATCACAATTTTGTCTCTAACATAGTATGAGAATTACAATAATATTTAAGACATATTAAGGATGGAAGCACAAGACATAATTCAAAAATATTATGTGCAAATTTTATCTTTATAACATATATTTTAGTGGTGAAATGTTCTATAAATTTATCACTGTTGTCGCCGACCAAGAGAGTGTGTGTGTGTGTGTGTGTGTGTGTGTGTGTGTGTGTGTGTACCTGTGCGAAAAATACCAAATCTGGTTGATATTGCTAGATAAAGCTTCAGAAGGAAACTATACAAATTTTTTTAAACCAGATAATTGGAAAATTTAAACCGAAAGAAACATTAAGAAATGGCATACATACAATGTAGACATACTCATGGCTGTGTACTCATTTTAAAACTGAATAACTTTTTAAAACTATTTTTTTTAACTATTTTCAGATTTTAAAAAGATTAGTTTACTAGACAACGAATAACAAGTTTTTCCGTAAATGATAATTGATTATTTGGCTGGAGTGACAAAAACAAAATGAAAGAATGATGTCTTTATCTTACTTCTTTATCTGAACTTGTAACAACAATTTAAACATTGTGTTCTGTAGATCTCTGCATCTCACATGCATGCTGAAAATTTTATCGGGATCGTTTAACACTGTAATGAGTCGCGAAGAATCAAACATCGTGAAAATCGCAATTTGTCACGACATTTGACCGATAACTGTAAGAAATCTGAAGATTTTTACACGTATCAACGTCTGTAGCATGACCCTGCGTCAAACGATTTTGAGAAATTTTCAGCATGTCTGTACATTACCGAGATCTACAAAACGCAATGTTTAAATTTTTGTACAATCTCAGGAAAGCTCACAAAAATTGTTCGAGTCATTGTCTAGTAAACAAGGACGTCTATCAATCCAAATAATCCAAGTCGTTTGGTCCAGTTTGAAAAATCTTCTCAATTTTTCAAGGATGTACGCGGACTTTTTCTAATGACGAATAATAACCTCTTAAAGTAACCACTTAAAACGCAATAATTTTTTCAAAACTCAACTAAATGGCTTGAATTTTTTTTAGATGATAGAGGGACTAGTTTACTAGACGATGACTGAAAAGCTTTCTTTTTCAATTTTACTATTAATTACTATTAATTAAGTGGAATTAAAAGAAAAAATTAAAAATCCTCGTTCCTTAACGTTTTTATCTGAGCCTATAATGAAAATATAAAAAATGCCTTTTGTAGATCTCGGCGACTTATATGCGTGCTGAAAATTTGATCGAAATCGGTTAACCGAGAGTCGAGCTACGAGCGTTGAAATATTTGAAAAAAGCTGCAGATTTCTACCAGTTTTTGGACAAAATCGTGATGAAACTGCGATCTTTAATTTATCGCAACTCGTAAAAACGTGAACCGATTTCCATAAAATTTTTAACATGCATGCAAGTTACCGAGATCTTTTTTCAATTTTCGTCATGAGCTCAGATAAAAAAGTTTTTACTGTTTTCTTTTCATTCCAAGTAATAGTAAAATTAAAAATAAAAGCTTTTTAATCGTCGTCTAGTAATCACCTAAAAAAAAATTCAAGTCATTTAGTTGAGTTTTGAAAAAAGTTACTGCGTTTTAAGAAGCGTACGTAAACACTTTTGCGAGCCAACTGTACCTCGAAAATTAGTTTTCGTCGTGCTCTGTTGGGAAAGGTAAGTCTGTGCGCCGCGGGGCGGCCTTGCCGAATTAGGCGAAAGCCGTCGTCGGTTTCGGGCTGTTATCGGGCCGCGTCTAATCACAGTGGCGGGCTTCGAACCATCGGGAATCTCGCGCAGAAGCAATGGGCGGCCCGTGGTCGGACGATGCGCGAGACAAGCCGCTATCAGAGGAAGGACGTAGGTGGTGCGAGCCGCGCCGAATCCATCGGATTTAGTTAATGTCCAGCGCTCCGTGAACTCGGATGTCGCATACGGTTGCTGCGAGCCATGACAGAGAGACTTGTGCACGGCCGACATCCCTCTGCTCCTTGAACCGTCGTCGAACCAGCGTTAACACAGTCTCCTGTAACTCTCCCTCGACTGATCGATAGGCTAGAAAGAGAACGAGAACGAGAACGAGACCGGGAAACAAAGATAGACGGAAAAGTTAAACGTCACAGATCTAGCGAGAATTCCTTGAGCAAAGCTTTCCCACGCAAACGGCGCACGTCCGCTCGACAAAAAAGGAGTACGACGAGCAACTAGATCGATAATCCTCGAGCTTGATCGATCGATCCTCGATCGCTCGGCGGAGCTTTATCGCGGCAGGCCACCGACACCGGTTTCGATAGTTCCGCGCGTGTTTCGTCGACGGAGAGTCTGTTTTGATCGTGTGGCCGGCTTGGATCGAGCCACTGCGATCCACGTGGACGCGTTCTGCGTCGTCATCGGCCGCGAACCGCGAGGGTCCGGCGGGATCTAGAGTTATCCTCGTTTGTTCTTTTTTTCGGTGTGTCGGCTCAGTGCTTGTCATTTATGAGATACGGTGAACAGCGCGCGGAGAGGGTCGAGAGACGGGGATCTCTCGTTTGGAGATCGAGGGATCGGAGTCGCTGGCTCTTCAGAACCAGGTAAGCGAGTCTTTTGTTCTTTCGACGTCGATTTTTCGGGTGAATGTAGCTTCGATAGCGAACGAGAGCGTAATTCGAATGGAACTGTTTATCCGCATTTAACTATTTTATCAGCGTGAATTGAGAATTATGTCTTTTAACACTGAACCTACCAAACAGTAAAATTGACCGCTCTGCATTGCCTGACAAGAGCATTGTTAGTGGAATTATTGGGATTATTGGAACAACCGCTATAATCGAAACTTGGATCTTTTCAGTTTTCGTGAATTGAGAATTATGTCTTTTAACACCGAACCTATCGAACGGTAAAATTGACCGCTCTGCATCGCCTGACAAGGATGAGAAGATCCAACTTATTTAGATTGCGTACAGTTTCGATTACAGCGGTTGTTCCAATAATGTAATTTGTGCAATCATTATCCATGAAAATGTCTTAATTGTTCTTATAATTATAAAATAAGGAACCGGGCACTTGACCGTGGTAAGTTTAGTGTTAATGAACGAAGAATCATTTCAAAAGCAAGCAAATCCAAATAGTATGCTGATCGGATTCTCAGTCTCGCACAAATTGGGAATAATTATAGAATCCTCTCGTTCATTATCTGCCAGAAAACGATTCTTTAACTACGTCAACTCGTGTAGACAAATTTTGACTCGTTCGGAAAGCTGATCTTTCAGATCCCTTGGAACATCTTCCGCGGAGGCTGTATATTAGTTGGGTGTCCAATTAGCGGCGCTCCAAAGCACGTTTTTCTCGATTGTACGGTCGAAATCGATACATGCGATTAACGACGAAGTCGCGAGCATTCCTTTGCGACGATTTTCCCGTGCTCGTTATCGAGAACGCAATCTTTTCGGAACGTTTCGGATCGACGGAGAATCGAGTCTTTAATCGAACGATTCACCGAGGTCCCACGCTTTGTGTTCATTTCCGCCGTGATCTACGCCGATATCTTTTCCGAGAGAAACGTTGGGCAATCGCGAGTCAATCAAAATATTCGATCCATTTTGAAACAGGAAATCGAATGTCACGACTAAGGTGCCGTAAATCCAAAGGTTACAGAGATTATTACGACGATAAGTTCGAAGTACCGAATCAGAAAGGGGAAACGATTGCCCGCTATTTCGGCAGAGAAGTCTTGCAATTCCACGGGAATCTGCCAATGATAGTGCCAACCCGGAACGATCCCTGGTAGTTCGCTTGTGTTTATGGCTCGACGCAGAATGCCTACCGTTTACCTCGGGGACCTGTAAACTCAACTGATAATTGATAATGATCCTTCAGTGACGAGCGTTGTGGAAACGTTTCATTTTGAGTGCTCGTTTCCACGCGCGTTTCTCGTATTTGTCCTCTTGATTTTTCCTCACGATTTGTCCTTCCGCTGGAAATTATTGTCGACACACATCGAAAGTTCTCATTGGGTGTAATCTCTGACCGATCTTGTTGTTAGCCTTTTAGTTCAGCGACATTTGCATGCAAACTCTTTTGCATACGTACAGTGATATGTAAAAGCGAGTATGCACCTTTTAAAACGCAATAACATTTTTAAAATTGAATCGAATGATTTGTATTCTTTCTTTCATTTTGGTTTTCAGACTGACTAATTACAAAAATTATAATTGATTGAAATTCCAAAAAATATAAAGATACGTTTTTCAACTTTTTTGTTTGACCTTCTATCGAAAGTTTAAGCAATATGCTTCACAAGCTTCGATAATCTATATTATATTATTATTATTATATTATTATATTATTATATTATTATATTATTATTATATTATTTATAATATTATTATTATTATATATAATTATTATATTATTATTATATGCATGCCGAAAATTTCATGCAAAAACGTATCTTTTTTAGTTTCATTTTGTTATACCAACCGATAATAATTTTCGTATATATTAGGGGGACCGGAAAGTAATGTCGTTTCTGCGCATATTTATCTGTTTGAAGTTAATGTAAACAAACGACATAACTTTCCGGTCCCCCTAATATTTCCTAACTCGCTGTCTAGGAAAAACTATCCAGAAAATATCCAAATCGTTTGATTGAATTTTAAAAAGGTTATTGCGTTTTAAACGGCGTGCTCTCACTTTAACACAAAACTGTGTTTATGGAACAAATATGTCGAGGAAATTCCTGACGATTACGATGTATGTATAGCGAATCGTTAACGAGCGTGAACAGGAAATAGGTTCCTATAATGAGTAATCTCTTGGAATATTTCTGTAAAGTACATGAACGATTTCGATATGTTTTCATTTAAAGTTTGCTCCTAATATACTTCGTAAATGGTTGCGCACAAAAATGGACAATTTGGGAAATGGACAATTTGCTGACAATCGATAACTATAATAACAAGCCGCGAGGCTCGAATAATCGTATATCCGCTTCTCAGATTGTCCATTTTTATGAACAATCTGAGCGTCAATTAGAGAGAATCTACTATATTTAGATTGTTGCAGGAACTTGTTCTGTCTGGCATTAAATTGTATTATTAACACTATGCCGTCCGCAGATCTTAAATATGATTCTTTCGTTTGACGCCGGCATAATAGCTTGGAAATTTTAGATTTAAAAAAAAATTTCAAAGATGGCGGTAATATAAATTCCTAAAATTAAGATATGTCATCCAAGAATTTTCGTACTTAATTCTTAGTTGAATAAGCACAATGCTATAGTTAGTTTGCCGCCTTTTAACACCCAAGAAATATAGTTTAAATATTATTTGAGTTTCCTAAAAAAACAGATAGTGTTTGCATGGCACCAGCGTGGTGCCACCGGACGGCATAGTGTTAAGTTGGGATCGTGCTATGTTTAAGCTCTTGCAAATCGTCTCGTTATATCAGGGAACTAATGAACACTTTATGTACCGGAAACCTATCGATGCGCTCTTCGATGGTAGAACTGTGTCTGAGTTCGACAATTTTGTTTTAAATAATAGTTTCAGGAGAAGTTCCGACTTTATATTCATTTAAATGTTTGACGGATTCTGGGCCAGATTTTGTATCGGCTCGTTTTCATATTATGAACAGTTATAAAAACCTCCTCTTCCCAAATTGTCCATTTTTCTGCGCAATCTGAGCGCGAATTAGGGAGAAATTACCGTACTTTGGTCACATAATTACAGTGGTTATTGAATTAGACGGTAAATCTTAGGTGCATCTTGAGCGGGAATAAGCAAAGTAATTTTCTAAATTCTGAATTCAAGTTGAAGGAACTTCGACGTGCAGATTTATATAGATCAATAAAATGGAATTGAATATTGCGCAGATACGCTATAACCGTAGTAGTATAGTTAGATTCAGGATTACGGATATCCCGTCGTTCGGTATGTATCGTATATCGCAGCATCGTTTACGATTGCTCGAACGAGAGATTTAACTGTTTACCCAGTTTCGGAAAGCCGTGCTATAGCCGCATATGCGCATGCATCGTGCAGTCTGTTAGATCCAGAAATACTAGATTCAAATTTCAAAATCATTTCGATCGAACGTCAATGGCGTTAGCGAGTTGCATAGAGCAACTAACGTTAATCTTGCTCGAGCGTTCATACATATTTAACTCCTAACTTCGATTGCGCAAAGCTAGCGTATCTATACAAAGGAGCTACCGAGTTCGTGACGTGGTTGACGGATAAGGCGGCGGTTCTTATAAATTCATGGTCGTCGCGCACACTGCGAGCTGTTCTTTTCTTTAAATATGTACTAACATCTAGATCTTAAAAATATCGAAGGAGCCGGTATGGTAAATTCGTGTGTCCTCAGTTTCTAAGAACAGACCTTGCCGATCTATAGAATTCTTAATTCGTCGCCGAGGCCCGCAACTGGTCGACGATTTTGTACATTCACGTCAGACGCGCGTCTTCAATTTCGTTCCAGGGTCGATTTGACATTTTTGGAGCTACTCGTGGCGGACTTTGGCTCATAACTTATAATCGTTAGTTTTTCGAATGACGCTCGTGTCAGTTAACACGTTCCGTGCCGAGCTTTTTTTACTCGAATCTTCACACTTTGACATTTTACTAAAACTTGATGTATTACGTGCAATTATTAATTCTCGTACACATAACAACGTAACAAAAACTTATCAACGCCCATTCTTGCGGTGGAAATTGATTCTTCGGTTCTAAATTTCTTGTAAACAATTTGTTCAGTTCACTAAGTAAACATGCAAGCGTGTACCACCGATGGTACACGTGGCACGGAACGTGTTAATAGAAGGTGGGATACCATAACTCGTAATCGTTAGGTTTTCAAAGCTAATTGCTCATCTGGGGAAAGTAAGGGCGAATCGACCGCGGTAAAGGGGCTGGAGAGGGCTCGGTAGAACGATTCGACGATGAGAACAGGATGAGAAAGTGTTTGACGGAAACGTGGAGGGGCGATACAAATGTGCCCGGAGCTTGCAAACACCATGGCGCAGCCTTGTCCCGCGATCCTTGACCGTAAAACCTCGAATTCTGCGGGGAAAGCCAGCGCTGAATCCGCGATCGACCTTCCATCGATTTCCTATAAGATCGCCACGATTGCTGCGAGGCTCGACCTTCGGAGATCCCTCTCTTCAAGGACTCGAACCTCGCTACTCGCAGCAATCGCAGGATCTGTCCCGAATGAGTTTTGAACAGAGAGGTCGGAATTAAACTTCTCAAAGCAGCCGCCACCGAGAGACTGAACTTCGCGAGCAGAGGAGCAATAAAGCTGAAATTTCGATAATCCCTTTACAATGTAATCATTTTATTTCTGATTCGATTGGATCTCGTCGGGAAGATTTCATTTCTAATTCAATTTTGCCCGCGAAGTTCGGCTTACGGAAATTCGAAAGCGTTTTACGCGCGCTGTTTAATCAACGCGATCGAATAATTTCATTTAACGTATCGACTGCCGACGTTTCGACAGTAGCATTGGAATGACAAACGTGCACAATAGAAATATTTATCTGTCCGCGCGGCAATCCCCGATGTTTTTGTTTTAATTGTCTATGATTTGTGAATTGAATTGTTTCGTTGAAACAGAACGATCGTTTCTTTCATTCGACGTGCATTATTCCCGCACGATTATACAATTTTATAAACCGCGTTTGACACCTCGAACATAGTCAATGGTCAGTTTCGCGTTATTATCAACCGGGTATACTGGCATTTTTATCACTTATCGCCGCGCCATATAATTTTCTTTCACTCGGAAGTGCTCGGCAACCGCGCCGAAGAGTTTGCAGAGACAGTTAACACAAAAATTATCGCAGCTACGCAGAGGTGGATTCACATTTAACAAGATCGATCTCAAATGGAGCATTTAAGGATCGTTAAATGTGGAGAAAAGAGTATGCGGGTAGTCTCATTTTTCAGGTAATCTGCAGAAGTGATTTTCAAATTCCAATATCCCTTTTTCTAAATTCATTGTTCGGTATAGCTCAATTTCATTGGACTATCGTTGCCTGGCAAGTACTTCAGACTTCGATGAAATAATGGATCATTGATCTCGAGGACTGAATTTTAGTAGATTCGACAGTGATAAGAGATTTCAATTACCAGAAATTGAGATGAGATAGTCCTTATCCTAATCTTCGCTTCAATTATATATTGAGGCGGAACGCTCGATGCGATTACATTTATCTGTAGCTAAAGATAATTCTATTTTGTGTTCATACTATTTCTGTGCATAATTAACGCGTCATAGCGTTTCTTTACTTCGGAGTCCTCGGCTCAAAGTTCTTTCTTCAAGTTCATTATGAAATTCAAGTACACGGATAGATATCGAATAAAAGATTTTCTCTTTTCGAAAATAAGTTACCGAGATGTTCGAAATAGATTTTAGTTTTGAAAATGCATATCGATGATTGAAACAACATCACTTTGTAAATTTTCTTTATCATTCCAGTCGATTTCAATATTTGAGAACGATTTTCGAACTATTCTCTGATAAATTAATCCCTCTGACACCCTGAAATCATTTGGATCGCTTGGTTCAATTATTAAAAGTTGTTCCGTTTTTAAAACGTGTAGGAATACTTTCTACACCGACTGTAGGTTCAAATACCATGTCTATTTCACTTTTTACAAACAGGCCGGAAACTTTCCTAGACCATTTCCAACAGTTCCCAAAGTTGATTTACAAGTTCCACGCATAAAGCACACCCTATAAACGAGGGTGTCGAGGATCCTTCAAACATTTTCTCAACCGTATCCCATTGTCTACGTACCCGATGGCCGGCGACATTGTATCTCGGCCAGAATAGCATAGATACAGAGAGAAACCTTCGCGCCGCTAATTGGTACTCTAAAGCGTCTGCGGAACCATTAACCTTTTAGGTACGGCTGAATTCTGCGCGAGGCTATTTCTCTGGACGGCAGAGTCTGATGTGTACTGTACAGAGTCTGATACTGTATATACAGGAGGTGTCCCAAAAATGTTTCGCAATCCGAAAGTGGCGGGTTCCTCGGGCCATTCGAAGCAACTTTTTCCTTTACAAAAGTTTTCTCCGAGGCACCGTTAACGAGTTATTAACGAAAAACAGTGACCAATGAGAGGCGAGCTCGGCTGGCGCGAGGCGATCGAGCCAATGGGCGGAACTGGGCTTCGCGCGCTGGTTGGCTGGGCCGCCTCGCGTCGGCCGTACTCGATTCTTATTGGTCACTGTTTTTCGTTAATAACTCGTTAACGGTGCCTCGGAGAACATTTTTGTAAAGGAAGAAGTTGCTTCGAATGATCCGAGGAACCCGCCATTTCCGGATTGCGAGACATTTTTGGGACACCCTGTAGACTGTTGC